AAGTATCGGGTTTTCCTGCTAACCGAAAACCATTAAAATGTAAAGAACCGTTTTTTTTTTAAATTTAATTCCTGATTGCGGAAAATTTGCTCAACTTCATCCATAGCTTCTTTAGCGTGGTGAAATATTAAAGAAAAAAGTCAATTGATGGGGTTGGAATACTGTGAGTGGTAAAATGGTGCGTCTTGAAGACTTTACTCATGACCCATAGAAGACTGCAGTCATCCTTGTTAGCAGCAGCAGCAGCATTATTGCGAAATACTCGTTCCTATGTCATGTTTCCTTTCTACTCATATTTGTAACTGACTTACCTGTAGGAATATTTTAATGATACATCAGGCATGCATCAACTGGATCTGCGAAGGGAGCATACACAGACAGCAATGTGATCTCATAATCCTGTTTTAAAGGAAAAAAGTTGTGACACAAGCTGATAAAATATTCTTGGGCTATCAGCCATGTCTGATGATAGGGAGAGATGGTCCCTGCGACATTTGAGATACTTAACCAACTGATGGAGCTCAAAGCCAAAGCAGATTATATCCACTGTAGCTGCCATGAAAGCTTCATATCTTATGTTTAATGCGTGGTTTACACTGTAGTTAAAAGGTAAAGCAGAGAAATTTTATTTCAGATGTACACAGTATTTGTTACATGCCACAGGAAATTGAAAATGTGACTAGCCATATATGAATAGATAGCTTATAGCATTTTTTTAAATGCTATAAAAAACTGCCACTTTTGATATATCACTGTTAAGAGGCAGAAGTTATGGCTGCCACAGGAATTCTGTGTTCCAGGTAGTGATGTGATACAATGGCAAGTGTGCTCTGTACGCAGGACACCACTGGAGGTTAAGCAACAAATATTTAAATGTGGATTCCAATTAAGATTATGAAATTTCCAATTTCAAAATGTGGGATATTTCATTGGGAAGTGTATCTGTCTTCTCCTGGTGACAGAGCTTGTACAAGGGCATGCTGAAAGTAATGACTCCCGATTTCTTTTCCATAACACCAATTTTATTGAAATAGAAATTGCTACTTTCCTTGAACTTTGTTCCCTATTTTATACAATTACTTCTCAAACAATCACATCTGCAGTCCAGACACACCTGACATATTTCATGTGCAGGTATTTGTCAATTAATGCACTAGTTGTGTTCCCAAAAGGAGTCGCAGGGGGTGCAATGACATAAATGACATCAGGCAGGCCGAATTTTCTCTCCTCCCTGCCTGCACAGCATCCTAATCCCCCCTTCTTCTAACCTCTCTTGATGGGCCAGTAAGTAGTTCATACTAAAGCAAGTGTTAATAGGTCTAAATTAATTGACTGCATTAAAATGAAACAACATGTTTCTAACTGTATTTATGTACCTGTATTTATGTAAGTGTGGCAGGACAGAATTACATTTTCGCCACTGTCTTATGGAGGCATTACTTTTCAGCATACCCTTCCAGGAATAATGTTGCTAATACCAAAGCCCACCAGTGGACACATCATGATCCACAGTCTTATAACCAGTTTTGTCAAGATCTGGTTTGATATCTTCCATCCGCCACTTTTGCTTTGCCAAGTGGATGCTTTCCAGCATGTTCCCAAAAAAATATTGTATGCATTTGTGTTCAATTCTTTATTGGAGTCCGTCATAACACAACAACATAACAGTCACGGTTAAAGTTATCTAGCTAGATGTTTCGGCTACTTAAAGCCATCATCAGGCAAAACACATTACTAATTGTGTCTGAATATAGTAATCATGTGCTTTGCCTGATGATGGCTTTAAATAGCCGAAACATGTAGCTAGGTAATTTTAACCTTGACCGTTATGCTGTTGTGTTACGATGGACTCCAATAAAGAACTGTATATAATAACACAACAGGATGCACAAAATTAAAAGTATTTGTGTTCCCCCATCTGAGCTACAAGTCCTTGACGTAACTTTCCTGGCAAAACTGGAAAGCTGTATAATCATCAAGTTCCTTGGTGGAGACGTTATGTGCTATAACACTGTGTTGTAGTCTGGCAGGGAGATACCAGGGTTCTGGTGAAACACACCACGCTGCAGTCTGATAGGTGAATACTAATGTTTTGGTGGAATGTGTGCCTCCAGCTTTAGGATGACCCCAGATCTCAGACATTTAGATTACGTATGTACAGATGTTTGACCTGTTCCCATTCATGAACAATACACACTGAAGCATCACAATATGAAATCAGGTCATCCACAAACAGCAGTTTCATTTGGCTGATGATATGGGATATGATACTGTGTAGGTTGGTAGAAGTTTAATGACATTTCAGAGGAACACATTGTCTTCAGCTTCAGTTTTCCATCCTGAAGATGGAGGAAGTATATTTGTCTGCAGTGTTAGTAAAAACAAATTACAGAGCATTACATTTCAGAAGACTTATCCTCAATAATACTGCTGAAAGTCAGTATGTGATAGAATGTATGTAGTAGAAGTCTACCCTTATGAAGGTGGCAGTACATTCCTCCAAAATGTTGGCAGACTCCTACCCACCTACACAGCATCACATCCAACTTCGTCATGATTACTGCCGTGAATATCTCAACTCTCGCATGTAACACTGGTGCTTGTAGATGACTGTACTTCCATTTATGAACAAGAAATATTGACACACTACAACCATACAGTCATTGTGCTGTACTGATTGAACTGAACTGTGATCAGTGCAGATGAATTACATTACATAATAAAATCAATTCTCAGAGCGTTAACAAGTCTTCATCACAGTAGTGAGTCTGTTGGGAACATGTACAAATTAATAAATGGCAAGTCTACCATTGCAGCCATTGAAAGCTATCGGCCTGATGCTTCAGTGGCCCTGCCTGGGCTCCAAATGCACATGGCCACCTCAAGTTTACAGTGAAACTTTGAGTGTATACAAACATATCATGAAATTTAAGCATTTTTATATCATTTTCCTAAAGATGATAAAGATGATTTAAATATTACAGTAAGTAAAACTATTTTATTGTATCTTTCTCAGCAGAATACTGATGAATAAAGAAACAAAATCTTCAGTTTCTTTTGATAGGTGTGTCATACCTTTTTTGTTTGAAAACCATTTACTGAAATATTAATTGCCTATGGTAAGGACGGATTGCAATGACCATCAATAACCATAAGCAGACTGCTCTAAGTGAGAATGTTACAAACTAAAATCAACTCCACACATAATTCCAACCTTGCAAGTAACCACACTAACTGAACAACTTATTCTGCATGCACCTAATGGAGTAGGTGTACATGTTTTAAATTATAATCCCTATTTCATGAAGAAATACACAAATGTAACAACTTTTGTAATAATGTGATTTCAAGTTAATTTCTATTAACAAAGACTAAAAAATACTGAAACTTAAATAATTAGGTGGCTGGAATATATGTCACTAAGGTTGTCAGTTTACAGTTATACATTTCTGATATCAAGAAAATGTAAGTTTGGGAACACCTGGAGTCTGTCTGTGTACCTTCTTATGTGAAGATTAGTAACACATCAGGATTACAATTCAGACTTCAGATAATGTCCAGCATTGACTTACATATTCATTTTGGGTTCAAATCCTCATCACCACCTTCAAGAAGATGCCTTATGATCAGTCTTACATAGTTTCATGACCTGATATTATTATTGGCCGAGTCTATGTGTCTTTCAAGTTTTCATATACCTACAGAAGACTCTTGATCATCTGCATGTGGATTAAACACAGAACTTTTATAACTGCATATAAGATTTGTAACCACCATCCAGTGTGATTGATAAAAGTTGTTTTTAATTTTTCATCCTTTATACGTTTCAGTCAAAACGACCATCTTCAGAAGGATATTATTACCACTTATGGAAACTACTGTTACATGTCATACATATATGTTATATTTAACTAATATTACGATATCTAAAATTATTACAAAAGTGTAAGGACATGAAACCAAATTGGTTCTAGTTTAAAACAAATACTGAACATTATTTTGTAAACAGACTAATTGTAATAATTCTTAGATGTTTTAACAAATTAATGTACATCTTAATATTAGTTCAAAGATATAACATATATATGTATGATATGTAACAGTAGTTTCCATATGTGTTGATAATATCCTTCTGAAGATGGTCGTTTTGACCAAAACATGTAAAGGATGAAAAATTAAAGACAACTTTCATCAATCCCACTGGACAGTGGTTAAAACCCTTACATACAATTACTAGTGTGACGGACCAGGATGAACCAAGTTACTTTTATAAACCATTACAAATGGTTCAGTGATATATCAGTGGTGATTTACAATGATTTGCAGTAGACTGTACATCCTCTGATTCTGTTGCTTGTATAATTTTACAGCTTTTCATACTGGCCTACAACTGAACAAGGGTTTCTTTTTTCCTACAGAAGGATACAATATTGCTATTGCAATCAAGAAAGGCCAAATATAATTACTTCATGTCTGATTTAGCTTAGAGGCTGTTCATCTGGCTCAAGTCCTATAAGCAAGCAACTAATCACTAGAAATTGTACTTTTCAGCTTACAGGTGCCAATAGGTTACCTAAGGAAGCAGGAGAACCACTGTACTCATTTGAACATGACATGAACTCTGTGGCCTTCCTTCCAGTACACACATAGGCACTGTTGGCAGCTGCAAGCTGTGTTTTATTTAAAAATAGAGATGATATTCCAGACAGTAAGAAACAATAAGAACATAATTCCATGCCAAAGTTCAGAGTTGGTGCCAGCATATTTCATGAAAAACTTGCAGTTTTGTTTTTGAGATGGTTGCCCTGAAAAAGAAATAAAGAAAATGTAGTAATGCTCATGTTAAATTTGAAGATCTCACAAAAACCTCACATGTTGGCTTTCTTTTTGAAAATGAAATTTCATATTCTGCATAAAAAACAGAGATTTTTAGTAAAGCTTCACAGTGCCAAAGAGGAAAGTCTTATTAATCAGTCCATCATTAAAATTAAACTTTATAGTGTACAGTCTACAAATTATAACAAGACAACTGACATGCTCAGAGAAAAACAAATATTTACTTTGCAGCAGTATAATCACCATATGACATTATCGACATTAGTATATGGCTTCCCATCTACTCAGCCTTTAAGTTAAAGCTATGAATTACTGTTATTTGCAATGTCAAGCTTTGACAAATTTTGAATTGAGTTCACTGGTTTCATCTAGTAATCTGTGTTCTCGTGTCTAAGTCTGTCAGTTAATGAATACAACTTTTTAATTAGAATTGATTGTTCTTTTCAATGAATGCCGACAAAAAGCATACTCATGTTTGTTTACCGCCACTAAGGACCACGAATGGAGACTGCATTTCTTTCTGCTTCTGCGGCAAGAGGCTAAGTGTTCCGAGTGGGTGTCTGTTGAGTTCATCTGTTTCATCAACTGGAAAAAAAAAAAGAAGAAAAAAAAAAGAATTAATCTCCTTCAGATGGGGCACAGTCTGTTTGCCCTTAAAGATTCTGTAATATCCGCAGCTCCTGTCACTGAATATCCTAACAGCTGGTTAATTTTTAGTGAGTCTGCTGCTTGAAGTCATCAATTTCTCCCAATTTCCAACCCATGGTCTGTGTTTACGTCTACTACCCTAATGACACCTGAACAAATATGCTGTGTTTTATGAGGAGGCTCCAGCTGACTTGCCACAAAGTTGCAGTATTCGCTTCTGTCCCAGGACTGAAGCTCCTGTGTATGTTTGTACTCAGCAGAAAATGAATGCACAAAAAGTGTGGATGGATATCTATCTGCTACGTGGAATCGTGGACATGTAACGATAACTACAATTTGCTTCCTTATGGAGCACCATTTAGAAAGAGCATCAGATGNAGAAGGGACCGCATAGTGATGACCAACAACCACAATATGGAAGCACAGCAGTTTCCTCATTTATAATTTCAAAACACCTGATCATGACCTTATAGGTCGAAACATGTAGTGGATAACTTTTAGGAAGTTTTACAGAAGGACATGCTGCACGTGAGACTGTGAAACAATTTGGTACCAAATGAAGTGCAGCAGGGTGCTACAATATACTAGAGTAAAGTAAAGCTATCCCTGTAACAGGCCGTGGAGGCCCATAGGGTTGTGAGATGTTGAGGTTTCCACATTTTCTAGACAATCGGCTCACAGATGGCGGTAAGGTTAGCCTTACGTGCCGGCCATCCTTTACCACCAAGAATATTCCAAGAATATTCCTGGTACTCATTTCTATTAGAGGCTGAGTCAACCCCAGGACCATAGTGCAGCTGGATGGATTAGGTCAACTGAAAAAAAATCCAGTGACTTCATTGGGACTTGAGCCCATGACCTTCCAGCTTGTATTAGAAATAAGAGCTCATGACCAGATCTGGACTGATACTCACTCCTTCCTGTTCAGTTTTCTTCATTCGTTTCTCCACTTTATTTTTGCCAGGTCCCTTTCCATGAAATTCATGAGACAGGTATCTGAAATTAGAAACAGAGACAACATTAAAGTCACTCTATTTTAGGATCTTACAGGATGTGGCCATGTTTCCAAGTAACATGTAAAATCCTTTCACCCTGAAGTTTCAGCCAGAAAAAAGGGTATGATCCATTTATAGTTCAATCTGTTATTTTGTGAAATAATAAAAATATGTAACATTCCGTTTTCTAACACAACTTACTCATACAGCTAATAACCAGAATTGGGAATGCCAGAGCACATTAAAGTAGTAGGGACTACAGGACAACTTAGGTGACTTAGTATGCAGCCACCTGATCACGCTAGTTCCTCGCTTGTGGAATTTTATACCCTGAAGATGGAGGTGGCACATTCCTACAAAACATCGTTTTACACACTATCTATACAGTGCCACATCCCAGAATATGGCATTCTTCATGGGTGACATTCATTACATACCAAGACACTATACAGTAAAAAAAAAAAAAAAAAAGTAAAGTTATCCCTGTAACAGACCATGGAGGTTCATATGCTTCCTCAAGGCTCACATTTTCTAGACAATCGGCTCACAGATGGCGGTGAGGTTGTCAGCCTTATACGCCAAGCTATCCCTGTAATAGACTGTGGAGGCCCATAGGGTTGTGAGACATTAAGACTCCCACATTTTTAGACAATTGGCTCATCCATGGCAGTGAGGTTGTCAGCCTTATGCACCGCCCACACTTTACCCCCCGCGAAAATTCCTGGTACTCATTTCTGTTAAGAGGCTGAGTTGACCCCACGGCCATAGTGCAGCTGGAAGGATTAGGTCAACTGAAAAAAATTAATGACCTCATCAGGACTTGAACCCACGACCTTCCAACTTGTAGCATAGTGCCTAAACCAACTATCCTACCACTACTAATATTAAACAATAATGATTAATGTGTTTGTACTAAAACCCCTAACAAAACTGCAGTATATGATTAAATATGGTACACCATTTATGCAATACTTAAAATATAAAGCACAATCAAAATCGATACTAAAGTGTCAATATCTCTTAATTTGAATAGGTCTATGTTGTACATAAAGAATCTGCTAATGACTCACCAATCTCAACTTCATTCCAAGCTCCACATTTGCCTTCTTCTTCCTGACGTTTCTTCTCTTCAAATATTTCCCTCTCAAAGTCCTGTAATGTAAATTTTGTATGAGATTAGTAGAATGCAAATGCGCAGTCCAAAAATTACCAATTCAAAATTACCTTGAGACAGACTGAAATCTGAACTGTTTACCCACCAACCACTGAATAAAGAAATACTGCACTGTGAAGTACTGACTACACTGTGTACAATTCGAGCTTCTGAAAGCAGTGGTTTTGAAGAGTTCTGTTATCTGGGATACAATGCTGTGTATTCTGTTGAAAGTCAGCAGACATTTTGGAGACACATGTCACCTCCATCTTCAGGGTTGAAGAATAAAGCAAGCAAGAAACCAGCGCTGGCAGGTAACAAAGCCAACCTTCCTACCTGCTTCATGCTGGCTTCTTGTTTCATTTATTCTTTGACCTTGAAGATTGAGGTGACATGTTCCCCCAGAAATTCAGATGATACCCCAGAAGACAGAATTCTTCTGACTATACTGATCATCTTGAAACTTCTTTGTCAAATTACCTTTTTAATATCATAGTATGCTTTAAAGTTACAGTTCTGTTAGAAACATACTCTCATTCTGCCAAGCAATGTACACCTGCCAAACTAATTCTGAGTTTGCAGTGAAAATACTGTGATAATTAACATTCAATTCACTTTGCAATGAACAAAATTACAAGAACTATTGGTTTTTCATTTAGTCATGTTCCGAGCTATTTATTCATCCATATTTCAATTTCACATATAATTCCTAGTAGCATCTTTTCTACCCATGTATCATGCACATGGCACAGGGAGAAAAAGACTGGATTTGAGATTCTTGTAGAGGAGATTGAGAAAGGCACTATCTTCTGGGAAGTCACATCCTGTAAGTCCACTGACATTCCTTCAAAATGCTTATGGACCTCATCACATTACACAACATTTTACACCAGAAGGTACCACTTGTCAAGAAGAAGAAGAACAAAAAGGTTCTACCATCTCAACTATCACATTCTTATTGTATAACGAGTGCTTTCATTTCTAGGATTTCTGTTGGATGTTTCCAGTTCAGTAATTTATATATCCATTATCATGGAATTCAACTGTAATTAAAATATAATCTAATTCTGTTGCAGCTGCAGTAAATAACTGTAGATGGGCAATGGACTGTATCCAGTGCTGACACATGCTAAATCAAAGTGCCTTGCCAAGTGTACATTCATCTGCGGAAGGTTATATTGCACTCACAAGCAGTTCCTGAGCGTCCTCATCCCTGTTGCCATCCAGACCATAAGTGGGGATGTCACCCAGTGTGCGGCAGAATTTTGCTGTGGCATTCAGCACAATGGAACCACCTTCCGTGTTTCCTTCTGAGTTTCTCTCCAGTACTGACTCTGCCACCTACAAACATCACAAATCACAAACAGTTAAATTATGTATTTAAAGGACTTATTATGTTATTTTTCTATGGGTTTTTATATTATTAGTGACTTGTCCAATTGTACATAATGTAACAGTTATGGATGTTAAATCAATCAATCAATCAATCAATATGTAGCTATACAGCATTCTGTTTTGTAGTATTCATAAATGCAAAGCTGTCCATATGCTTAACTAGTTATGCTCTAGATGGAGGTTAGATTCCAGCTCTATGCTGCTCACACCCGGGGAAACAGCCCCTGGTGCCTATTTGACAGGTGGCCATAACAGGTCTCAATAACCAAAATACAAGAAAGGATGATAGTATCAAAAAAGGTAGAGCTCTCCCTGTAACAAGCCGTGGAGGCCCCTAGGGGTGCGAGACGTTGAGACTCCCATACTTTTTCGACAATAAGTGCACAGACAGCAGTGAGGTTGTCAGCCTTACATACTGGCCGTCCTTTACCCCCCCAAGAATATTCCTGGTACTCATTTCTGTTAGAAGCTGAGTTGACCTCAGGGTCATAGTGTGACTGGAAGGATTTGGTCAATCTAAAAATCCAATTACTTAACTGGGAATCAAACCCATGACCTTTCAGTTTGTAGCACAGTAAGAAAGGATGATGATATTACTTAAATGTGAAGATATGATTCACTGGTTTGAGGCCCACCATAACAAACTGTGAGAGAAACAATTTAATAGCCCTCAGGTTAAATTACAATATACTCTCTCTAGGGTACAATGGTTTTGTACCGTAACCAAGGAGGAAACATCAAAATGAACTTTACTACAAAGTACTGTGCAACATTTTATAACTGGAACATATGGAGACACTGTGTAGGAACTAAACATGGCACAGGATTCTGTAGCTAGGGACAATTTCATCACCTCCCACAACCTATCCATAGGGCTGCTCCTCTCTTGTCTCAGGGAGAAAAAGCAGAGAGGCAGGTAAGGGGAAGATGGCCTTGACTGAACAAGAGAAATGATCCCTAGTACAGCCAAATATTTGTGAGGATTAAAAAGGAAATCTGCCGATGTGATGTACCTTTTCTACACTGTTCTTTGATTCTGTAACAGCGGCCTGCGGCTTCAGTTTCCGTGCTTTCTTGAGGGCTATCTGAAGCTCCAGTCTGCTGTCACTGGGCTCAATCTTGAAGTTGGACGGCATCTCTTCTGGCGCTGAAAGGTGTGTCCGATTATTAATAACATTCAAAACTGCTCCTGCACATTTCCTTTCATGATTTCACAACACATTTTGTAGACGAAACTATATAGCATCAAATGGCTGATGATTAGTAAATAATGTATTAAAAAGTCTTTGTGTTTGTCACCTGATTAGTGATACTAAGTCCAATCAAGGGGCTGTGCCATAGCTCAAGCGGTTAGTCGCTGGCTTCCCACCGCGGCGGCCCGGGTTCGATCCCGGGTCTGGTCAAGTGGGATTTGTGGTGGACAAAGTGGCACTGGGGCAGGTTTTCTCCGAGTACTTCGGTTTCCCCTGCCAATCTTTATTCAACCAACTGATCCACAATCAACCTCACGTATCATCTGGGACTGGTACAATAGGCCAGAAGTGGCCGCAGTACAAGGGACTTAGTCCCACACTACTAGCCATAAAAAAAAAAAAGTCCAATTAACATTTGCCTGGTGGTACTGTGAAAAACCACGTAAAAATCTAAGTCAGGTTAGCCAGATGTTCCAGCGGAGATTCATCAACTCAAGAACCCTGTTTCCCTTTAGTTACTTGTTTTTTTTAGTTCGACTTGTGGCAGTAACATGAGTACTTATGGTACGATTGGGCGTGTTATTTCTTCTTGTAGCAGTTCAATAATTTTTTGTGCTGATCTGAGTTCTATTTTAAATATATGACAACAAGAAGTCGTTACCTCACTTGTTTCACTACTATCATTCATGAAAACTTGAGTGTTATCACCATCAGCCACTGAACGAACGGCCATTTTGGATATGAGTAAGCGTAATGATCGATGGATCGACGGTGATCGATCTCTCGGGAATTTCTTATGCAGCTCCTAAACTTTTTGTAGAAACACCAAAATTATTCAACTTATAAAATAATTTATACTCAGCATCACACAGCTCTCGTATGCTGAGTGCCATTAAACTACAAGAACAAAAACAGGATTCATTTTGAACTTTGATCAAATATTATGTAATATTTGTACATTTTAAACTGGATTGATAGCTCAGTCGGTATAGCGACAGGCTACATGCTGCACGACTGAGGGTAATGATCGTAACGATATTGTATGAATCGATATTGACCATTCACATTATAATAGCAGATTCTGCTGGTACTGATATGCCCTCCTGAAGATTGTCTCTCAGACCGAAACAAGTCAAGGACGAAAGATTAAAATGGGAAGAATAAAATTTATCAATCACACTGGATGGGGTTGATACTTACTTACTTACTTACTCATGGAGCTGAGCCCTTCTTGAGGAGCCGCCAATTCTGCAGCTATTCAAGAATTTCCCAGCATTTTATGGAACCCGAAGGTTCATCACCGTGTTCACAAGGGCCATCCACTGGTCCCTATCCTGAGCCAGATCTATCCAATCCATACCATCCCATCCTATCTCTCTAAGATTCATTCTAATATTGTCCACCCACCTACGCCTTGGTCTTCCCTGTGGTCTCTTTCCTTCTGGCTTTCCCACCAATATCCTTTTCGCATTCCTCGTCTCCCCATTCGTGCTACATGACCTGCCCACCTCATCCTTCTTGACTTGATCATTCTATGTATACTTGGTGAAGAGTACAAGTTATGAAGCTCCTCATTATGCAGTGTTACTCACATAAATTTAGTTTAAATTTATAATTTGTGCTAAACAGGCCTACATTTTCACTAAGTCTTATTGTTTTGGAGATATTTAAATTAAAGAATACAAATGCATCAGAATTATCACCTGTGCACCAATCTTATCATTCTTGATTAAAATATTAGCTTATTTAATTCATCCCATCATGTCTACAGTTAATCAGACCATTTTGACCTCAATTGGTCCCTCATAGACAGCACGTATGTTGTACAGAAATGAACTGTAAAGTTATTACTGTAACACAGCCGCACCATAGCTCAAGCGGTTAGTCACTGGCTTCCCATCGCGGCGACCCAGGTTCGATCCCAGGTCTGGTCAAGTGGGATTTGTGGTGGACAAAGTGGTGCTGGGGCAGGTTTTCTCAGAGTACTTCAGTTTCCCCTGCCAATCTTCATTCCACCAATTGCTCCACAGTCACCCTCATCTATCATCTGGGGCTGGTACAATAAGCCAGAAGTGGCTGCAGTACAAGGGACTTAGTCCCACCCCACTAGCATTAAAAAAAAGTTATTACTGTAACATTAATATTTCTGACATCTGAAATGTCTGGAGCGACATGCCCAAACAATTTTAAATCCCTCAATACATATTAAGAGGTTCAGAAATATGGTCATTTGAATGTAAGCTGTCCCAGTGCCATTTCTCCTAGATTTCTGTGACAGCAACTGTGGCTGACTTACAGGATGAAGGAACATTCCAGATGAAGCAGCCAGCCAGAGACTTCCCGAAGAGACTGGGTTCAAAGCGAGCCCTGATAATTGGATGGAGAGACATGCAGGCCATGGTAACACAGAAAGGTGTCAAGATGTTCAGAGAGTCTCACAGCAAGAGTACTGAGTTCAACACCTGAGGAGCTAGTGTAGTTCTTTGTACAGAAACACTGCTCATACCCATTGAAGGTAGAACCATGTTCAGGTGTTCAGCAAAAAGTAAGCAAGATAGGTTTACCGGGAGGTCAGGTCTGCCTGTCTGTGCTTAAAACTAATTACCACTAGTATGTACTGTTACTTATCACTGCTCCTTAACACTTTGTGGCCCGGCAATTTAAATCACCCTGGGGACTGGCATTTTTACACTTACTATTCTAACTTGTGCACTGTTCACTTTAAAAATTAATATAAAATCTATTTAATTTTATGAACAAAAACTTTTGGAGAACATTTACCAATGCTCCTAGAAGTGCTTGAGAGTGTGATATTTCTGGAAACATTCCCCTTTGTGAAGTGGCATTACACAGAACTTGCCTAGAAGGATGCTCCCCCTTGGAAAGTTCACTCTTCACAATTTTCACGAGGTGGTCCACATGAGGCCTGTGTGGAGTGGGAGTTGATGGGCCAGGTCGCACTAAGTCTGTGTCTGACTCTGGTTCTGCCACCACCATCCGGTCTGTAGCCCAGGTTTTTGACACATTCATCAGAAATGCTTTGTATTTCAATTTTGAATCAGGGTTTAGATTTGTGTAAACCAAAAATGAATTGAAAATGGCACAATTTATAAGCCACAAGGCAACTTTCTTTGTCCACTTTACTGTTTTCCTAGGAAGAGAATAATAGGCCAAGTATTGATTGGCTCTATCAACTCTCTTCATGAACATATTATACTCAGAAATACAAATAGGCTTCTTTACTTGTCATGTCTCCTTTGAACATCAACCATGCTCAAATTGTGAATTGTGGAAATCATATTCACAACACGAGTATCCCTCCAGGATGATGAAGAATATCCCCCTTCCTCCTGAATGTGGTTTCACCACGTTTCAGGGATTTAGATTCCTCTTTCAGATCTAGAGGAAGGCCTCTGCTCACCCTAATTGTTCCACAAACATATACTTTTCTCAAAAGAAAGTATTCTGCAGTTACCACACTGTTATAATAATTGTCTTGATAGACATGGTAATTTTGATCAAGATAGGGTTCCAAAACGGAAACAATAGTTTCTTGTAATTTTTTGCCTTCACCAGAATAAATTTCTAAATTTCCAATATAGCCTGAAGTGCTTTCAGTAACTATATGAACAAGTAGGCCATACTTTTAAGTTTCCCAGGATTTATGTTCACATATGAAGCCTTCCCCTCCAAGGAATCACAGATTCGTCCAAAGACAGCTGTTGCTTTGGCTCAAACGATCTGAAATTTCTAACGAAAAAGTTTAATAAGGGCTGAATTTTGAAAAGCCTGCTTGTTGATTGTGGTTGCAGTTCATTAATACTGAAATGCAAACACCACCAAATTTGTTCAAATCTCTTACAGCTCATTAGTTTGCCGAAAATGGGAATTTCTAAAAATGGACCTGTTGACCAATACTCTTTTAGATTATCCCTTCTTGTATGCCCTATTATAAAGATTATTGCCAAAAAAAAAAAAAAATTAATTTCTGCTGAAGTGACATCCACCCACTTCAACACCTTATAACTTCTGTCATACTCTTCACGGTGTTGGAGATATTATGTTAGTTTCCTGACATAACATGTCATAGAAACTATTTCCAAAAAAAAGAGTTCTCCTACTTCAGACACTTGTTTTGGGTCCGATGTAATTTGTTTCAACCCTGGATTTCCAGTAAACTGTCCCAAAGTAGACATTTTGTCTACTTTTCCCCATGTGGCTGTCCCCGCAATGTTACTATCTGCATTTTCGTCGGAGCTACTGTCACTTTTACTGTCTGTGGCCACAATTCTTTGTTGTCCCCTGTCACTGCCACTGTCCGAGTCACTATCACTACACGTCTCACAAGGCATGTCAGATAGCTCATCGGAGAACAAGTCAGATATTTCTTGTTCTCCGAGAGATCGCTTGGTCTTCAACTGCTTTCGTCCTTGATCCATATTGCACTACTAACTTACTGCCTGGTACATACAGCTTGAAGATGAACAAAGGCATTTTCCTTTGGAGTGGGATAGGAAAACAGCTAGGTCATGTTACTGACCACTAAGCAAATATTTGGGAGGTCTATTATGCACCAGTTATGCCTCTGCGTGGTGCCAGAGCACGGTATAGTGTGTTGCAACATAACGTGTCCTAAAATCATAATATTATGTGACCGGTCTGCAAAGTGTTAAGTTCTACTACTTACTACTTGGTACTCTGTATGCTGTTACTATGGAGACCCATATTATTGGTTAATTGTTTGTGATCTGTATGGATAATTGATAAGACATGTAAATGTAAACATATATCATTACAGAAAGTGAGTGCGATTAGGCAGACACAGAAGAGAATTTTGTAATCATATTGAGGGTTATGGCAGCGTCTGCAGCTGCACGGATCCTGCGCCATTGTTGTTTAACCTGAACCAGTGAGTAGCAACAATATATGTTGTTTTTTAGATTAATAATTATTGTGTCAGATCATGCCTACAATTTCCATCAAAAGAGTTCAGTATACTTCACTTTAGAGATATCTCCCACCACCACCACCACTGCCGCTGTCGCTACCGGCACATCATGGTTCTGGTTTCCTTCATCCAGTTGTTTCTTCAATGATCCTCCCCCTTTTCTAGACTTATGAGATTTGTAATTTTTTTATAGTTTTGGAAGTCTCAATATTTGCATTCAGCATGTGTGCTGAATCAGAATTATTTTATATTTCAAATTTTTATTTCTAAGTATTTCAAGATGTCTAGGAATATGATTAATTCCATTGTGACACTTCATTACTTGAAATTTATTAATGCTAAGAATTCCTTACGAACCCAAAAATAATTTAGGTAGCTATGATAATGCAATTAAGGGAAATAAGAAACATTTACTTTAATTCCATTACTGTCAGTAATTCATTCACTCATTTTCCATAAATCCATACAGAAAACAATTTCATAGGATGTGGAAACAGTCACAAATAAAGCAGTACAACGTAAATATAGTCATACACATCAGAAAGTACATAATAAAGTAAGCTTCAACATGTACATTAATATAACTAAAACAATTCTTAAGTTGTTGTAGTACGAATGTAATAGTACTCTAGTAATATAACCCTAGTAAATAAATTAAAAAATGTTTAGTAGGGTGTAAAATCAAACAGAATATCAACAAAATCAAATTTGAAGACCATCATAAAAAATTTGAATGGCAGAGACATAACAATTGGTCAGGAATCTATTACTGTCTTGTATAATGTGTAACCTTTTACATAAGTCCTATGATAACATCATTGTACAATATTGTAGACATTGCATTACGTGTATATGTTCTTTTAATTAATAATTAAGTCTATGTACAGTTAGTTACACAGATGACTCTCATCTGAACTGACATGCTACACTGTTAATTTCTATTTATTCACAAGGGCCACTGGCCAAATAAATATGACATCAGGTTAGGAAATTGATGATGAGTAAGAAATAATTTTCACTGGATAAAGAAATATGTGGCCCCTCAAACAGGCCTACCTGTAAAGTTCAGCACAAGGCTTCCACTTCTAATTGTCCAGTCTATCTTCCAAAGACCTAAATCGTATTACAAGAATTGCACATCTGTATAAACAAGAAATATGTGCCAATAAGTATTGCTTTCTTTTCTTTAGTTAGGTAAAAACCCTTGAAAAAATATGTCTGGAGCCTAAACATGCCAGAATCTTATTCCACTCTTTTAAAAAATATAAAAACAGCATAACATACATCTCACTCTCCGAATCCGTCCACTATTTTCTTCTATTGCGCTTTGTATCCCGATGAAAAGCGACATTTCCAGGATCATCTGCCAGTTGGGGGTATTGATGAATGCTGTGGATGTCCACCCCTTCATAACCATCCACATCTCCATGCAGGATAAGTTCTTCTTTTTCTTCCTCAGTCCAATCCCCATGCCCACGGAACCCGGCCGCCACCAGCTGCTTCTCCAGTTCCCATGCTCGTTCCACAGCTCGTTTGTGTGCGTGTTTGAAAATGCGATGACGCTCCTGTTCAGGATCTGCACCATATCGAATGAAAACAGCTGCATCAGAATTGTGAAGCCTTAGCTCTTTAGTGCCACCTGCTCCACCATGTTCAGTTGCTGTCTCATGTGCTGTTATGTTAAACATTCCACCCAAACGCCATAGTTCCTCCTGATCATCATGAATTTTTAAGACATTATCCTTCACAAAATAGAACACATCTTGGTCATGTAGACTAAAGTGCAAGTCCAGGAAGTATGAATTATTGAACACAGATGTTACCACATCCTGAACAACCCCATTGACACCTTCTACCACACTGACCATGGCTCTTCCCGCCACCCGTGAGATGAGCACTCCTTCACCAAATACAGCCCTCCTGTATGCCACTCGTGGAAGAAGGTTTCGTGTTTTGGGCTCCATTTTCAGAAGTGGCTTTGGAACAAAGCCCAGGTCACTGAACTTTTCGTTCATCTTGTCTACTATGCACTGTAGCCCTGACATCACGCCAAAGTCAGGAGAAAGCTGAGGAGATGTCACAATCGCCTGTGGCTGGTACACCATGCGTGAAGTGTAAGATGATCCCAGCATGCTGTCCACATCATAGCCATACAGCTTCAGCCAGCTTGGCAGGTCTGTAATGCAGGAAGATGAAAGTGTCAAACATGTGAAATTAGAATAAACATCTGACTATAGTCTGAGCAGTTTATACAGTCCCATGACCTTTCCCTGTTAAAGTGACATGTGACAACACCTGATGAGTAATTCAGAGCTGTGTTAATGTTCATCCTGACTTCCCTCTCTCCACTTCACTCCTGTCCCTCTTCCTAAGGTGTTCTATTAGCTTACATGGCATCACCACTCCTGCTGCATAGTTTCACATAGGGTCTGGACTGAGTTCTCAAACTACTACTCTGTCCAAAAAGTATCCGACCTTGGGCCGGGAAAACAAAGTTCTGTCTCTGGGTGGTTACAATACCTAATCCCCTTCAAAGTAGGCCCCTTGTGACTTCACACACTTAGCCTAGCGGTCCTTCCATCGCTGGAAGCAATTCTGGAAGGCTTCTTTTGGAATGGCGTGCAGATGTGCCATCACTTTCTGTACGATGTCCTCGTGGGTGTCAAAATGGGAGCCTTTTACCAGTGTCTTCAATCTCAGGAACAGCCAGAAATCACAAGGAGTCATGTCAGGAGAGTAGGGAGCCTGGCAAACCTGTGGAATGCTGTGCTTGGCCAGGAAACCCTGAATCAGGTGTGATGAATGAGCTGGGACACTGTCAGCTGCCAGTTGCGTGCGTCCCACAGCTCCGATCTCTTGCATCACGAAGATGGAGGAGAACTTCTTGGTAGTACTCCTTATTGACAGTTTGGCCTAGTAGATGATGCATAACACCCCGGTAATTGAAAAAAAAAACAGTCAGTATCACCTTCACATTGCTCCAAACCTGTCGTACTTTTTTGGGCCTTGGGGATGTTGGATCCTTCCATTGTGATGCCTAAACCTTGGTTTCCGGGTCATATCCATACACCCACAACTTGTCACCAGTGATCACAGTCTTCAGGAACTCAGGATCCCTGATGGCCCACTCCAGCATGTCCTGCGTGACTTCAAGGCAGAGTTATTGCTGCTCCGGCAAAAGCAGCTTGGGCACAAATTTTGCCACCATTCTCTGCATGCCCAAATCCTCAGTTGAAATTGTGTTTGTGGAACCTCTGCTGATCCCAACCTCATCAGCAACTTCCAAGATGGTCAAATGATGGTCCTCCACAATCAGTGTCTGCACTTTTTCAATGACATCAGCATTTTGGCTTGTTGACCGGTTCCCAGAACGCTGGTCACTGTCAGCCGACATAAGGCCATCTTTAAAGCAAATGAACCCCATTGCTTCATCGCCAAAAGCCTGCTGAATTTTGTGGATTGTTCCTGCTTGGCTATCCCCAAGTTTCTGACAATACTTGAAGCAGTATCGCTGCTCCAAGCGTTGTGTCATCTTGAGCGAAACGAGAATTTGACAAACATGTGTTACACCACTTCGCTATCTCACAGCCATGCATCTAAAGTTGTTGGGAGGTAGCAAAAAATCACGCATGCGCATGAAAGTCCCTTCTACCACTACACTCAGTTCCCCCACCCTTTTGGATATTATTTACCTGGCAAAAAATAAAGTTGGATACCTTTTGGACAGAGGGGTGCAGTGCTGTATCTTTCTAAAGCGATCATGAATGTTTATCTCATATGCTTCATTTTGCACTGTTTAAATTATTCAGGCCCATGTTCAGTTGTTCATTTCAGTATGGCATGGTGATACTATAGAAAGTGATAACAAAAAAGTAGGATTTCTCATAGTGTTAATGATGCAATGAAGTCATATGGATTATGTGAGGGATTTTCTGATGGTTTGTGCCATCCAATGTACAGAAATAAGTGGACAATGCCAAGCTATGTTGGACATTATCCATTGATATACATTATACTAAACTATTAGGCTTATTTTGGACTCTATCCATCGGCTGGTGTATGGAAGACAAAAAAACGTTTTGGAGACTGGATCTGGCTCTGTCCTCAGGTGGATGAGGCAGGATAAACCTACTCAGTTAGACCCGTTAGAAAGAGCTAGTCTCAATCACTGGATCTCCATCAAAGGTTGATCAGATCACCACATATTTCCTTGACAACAGAGGCAGAGATGCTCTCAGAAATTTGACACCTCAGGTCTGAATTCATGTGGCTGATTTAACGAGAAGATTCAATTGCTTTTAGTTGCTGTGAATTATCATTTAATATTTCTTTGAGGCTACAATGGGATGGACAACTAGAATGAGGGACAATAGTAATGAATATATCACTTCAGTTTGGAAACCTCTTGTAAAATGTCCAGTTTCATCTACCCTGGTAAAGGAAGAAGCTAGTTCCTTCAGAACAATGGAACCACTTCCAGACTACATGGTATCATAACCCAGAAGACCACAATCTAAATGTTTACCACTGTAATAACCTCATATATCAAAAAGATATATAACATATTTTTAAATATGTGCCATTCATAAATACAGTGGACCCCAGATATAACATGCATTCCAAGGGTCAACTTTGGTACCCGCATTATATGTGAAACTGATATTTGCAGTACACAATCGTACTGTGGCCATGATCACTGCTGCTGTATACCCAATTCTAGAGTACAATAGGGTACGTTATATCAGGGCCCCATTTTATGCATTAATTTCACAGTATCAAATTTGAGGTTCTACACATAGATCTACTAATCTGACCGTGTCACATTCCACAAGCCCTCAATTTTCATTACTTTTTATGATTCTAACAACTCTGTATATTCTATGACTGCTTACTACAATATATCTATCTTCTGCATATAAAACTCCATCACAACTAAACAGTGATTATCAAGCATATTCACATGTTCAGTAATCGTGATATGGCACCAACCTGTCATATATGTAATGTTGTGTCTGCGATTGATAGGATCATTGTTGTTGAAGCGATAGATGAAGACATCTGTTGGTGTAGTGAGTTGGTTGGCCAGCTCCTCCCAGGCAGGCGTCATCCACTGCCCTACTACTGGATCATATAATCTCTTGTTGAGGTATACAAGACCTGTGTTAGGGTCCAGTAATCCTCCATGGAAGTCAACAGGAATGTAAAAGTCTGGCTTTGAATCCTTAGTCACTTTACCAAAAGGTGTACGGCGAATTTCTTTTACAATGTTGCCATTGGTGTCAAACAATGCCAGTGGTGAACCATTAGGATCTGATGCCACATAGCACCGCTGTTCAGATGTCTCCACGGTGATAAGTACATCATGATCATTATACAGAAGTTGAAATGTTCGACCAGTCTTAGGAAAGTGAATATGTGAGATAAGATCAGGAGTGCTAGGGTTGGCGTAGAAATATTGCGTTACATTGCCAAGTTCATCATGCCACGATATGAGGCGACCACGATCATCATAGAAATACCAAGTCTGGAACTTATCACGTTCAAATGCATGGATAAGCTGAGCACGAGAATTGTAACGGTATTTCTGCTCCCCTCTTCGCACCACAAAACCTTGTTCATCATAGCTATTGAACTCTACATCACCATACTGAACCACACGGTCACCACTATCATAACCCAGGGAGATCTTCTCACCTTGTTCGATAACACCTATGACATTACCATTCTCATCATAAACATATTTCCAGTTCCCATTGCCTATCACCTCCATTACATGACCATCTGCGTTATAGGTTACCTGGTCTGTAGAGGATGTTGCACCGATTTTTAGTTTCTGCGTTTTGATTCTGTTACGTTTGTCATAATCCAGCTCAAGTCTGTACACATCAAATGACTTAATATTAATAAGAAGAGACTTTATGCGGCCATGGCTGTCATAATCAGTGATTGTTAAGAATTGCTTACTGCTGTCTTGCATCACCGAACGGTTTAAAGTATTGCGGTAGATACGGAGGTCACTGACAATTTCCAGCATTCCCAAGTTCTGGTTGTACTTCAGTCTTAACTGAGGCAGTTCCTTGCCATTGATCTCTACATCAATGCCAGATATTCTGGTGTATCCATCGTACTGATAGCGGAAATGAGCATTGTCTAGGCCACTCTTACTTCCATATTTGAGCCTTTCATCCTTGAGGATCCCAGCTTGGTGCTTATATTCCTGCTTCAGCTCAAAGTTTGGTTCTATAATGTCGATACTGTTCACGAGACTCGTACTCTCCTGATATGTATAATGGATGGATGAAAGACCTGCAAGGATTGTCTCCAGTTTCCCGTTTTGATCATAGATATATACCACTTTACCAGATTGGTGTGGGTATACTTTGAACAAGATCTGACCATCATCATTGTATAGTATCTCATATGGGTGGTGGTTCATAGGTGAGAAGTACTGGTACTTGAAAAACCCCAGTGATGTTTGAAGGGAGAATGCGTGGATATGTCCCCGTGGGGTTGTGATTGACTCCAGCGCTCCAGCCTCATCATACTGCAAGAGGTAGTCATTTCCTCTAGGTGTTGTTACCTTCAGAGGCTGAAATGATCAAAATTATGCATGGTATGGTAATTAATTTACTTTTCAGGGAATTTTTCAATAGTAATATGCAATAGGAACAGTGAGAAAAATGCAGAGGAAAAGAAATAGAGCTTGTCCAGGTCAAGAGGAACTGCAATTTTAAGAAACTGCCATATAGTATCAACAGGAAGAAACTGTCCTTTCCCCTAGATAAATCCTTCTTCTGTTTCTTGCTTCTGGTAGGAAAGGGCAGTTTCCTCCTCTCGACATAAATTGGCAATTTCTCGCAATTCCAGTTCACCATTTCTATTGCCCTGGATGGGCTGTATCTCCTCTGTCCCTCCTATGGCTGAGTGATGTCACACCAACTGTGTATCCTGGCCACACTCTGACCACATTAACTTTGACCTTTAAGACATAGGCAACAGGGTCCTCTGGAATAATTTCATTCAGCCACAAGGCTACATGGCATCAAAACTACAATTGGAACACTCACTGCAGTGAAATCTCAAATACTATTTCATCTTGTTGTTCCATTACAGCTTTCTTTTGCACAATCACCTGAATTTAAAAGTGTGAATACTTCTAGCACTAAATACAGATAAGCTTATTCATATTGCTACAAGCAATGAAAATTCAGTTGCAATTGGAGTTGCTGAGAAAAGCAAATGAGATGATTTCAACAATAGGTATTAGCATAGCCAGAGTGGTCCAGGCTTGCAATTTGTCAGGTTTCTGCCTTTACACTTAATTAATAACAGTGACATTTAAAAAATAAATAATTTATAACATATAATTTCTAGCTTCTGTCTGAAATGAAAGTGTCATGCTCTTTCAAATGGGATACATGCATTCCATAAGTTGTCATTCAATTCTCCTTTTCAATTAAGAACAATGACCTTATATTATGCTTCATGCCTGTCTTTTTTAATGCACTGAACACAGTACTAGAACTTTTACAAAAAATAAAGAAATAACAAATTATATTATAAAACAGGCATGTGAAAATGATGAGCTACATTCATGTAATTTTATAAGACTAGCTCCATAACTATATACAAAATGAGGCCCCTATGTGATCTTCACCTAAGAAATAAGTTTCATTTCCTTTCAACCTCTCTCTACTGGATAAGTGACACTGTTTCTTTACTGTTAACCCTTATTGTCTGAGAATACAGGTTCTCTTAAATCATTTTGTACTCTGAGGATAGCAGCCAATTCTCAACTTATGGGTAACAGTATCAGTATTAAGAAAATGGAATAATAATACAAGAGTTCAACAGAACATTTCAGGTCAAGGCATAAGTCAAGTGTGCTTTGAACAACCAGCATCATTACACTGAGGTACTTCTGTGTTGTATCACTGTCTATTTACTTACCAGACTGCTGAACATATCCTTGAAAGCATAGATCATCGCTGATCCATCACCATAGCGTATCTCAGAAAGGCGTCCAGCTCTGTCAAAGCCATAGCTCTCAGTGAGATCTCCCCATTTCCAGCTTGTCAGGCGACTGAAGCGATCATATTCTAACTCCACACCAGCAAAAATCCCATTCCTGATGTAAAGATAAATGTGACAGTATTGAATATTTCTTATCATGGGAACTATAAAAGTTTGATATGAAGAATATAATTACAGATTCTTTTATGTAGAACAAAAAACAGAAAAGTTCAATGTGACTGAACTGACACCCTTTTTAAATCTTGAAATACTGTCAACATTAAATAAATTTATGGACATGCAGAGAGTCATTATGAATATGTGTTTTCATATTGACATTATGGAGTTTCTGAACATTCTGCCAAATTGATACAATCAGTTTTCATATTTAAAATATTGTTCTCATGATACTTAAATTAAAATGAATGAAAATGTACCTTGGTCTCCATTTGACAGGCCTTGCAGTACGATCATAAGTCACATTCAAAAGTTCAATGATGCGATCATCCATGAACACAGCCACTGTTCCCATCTCACGATCATACTGTGTAGTAAGCAGGTTTTCACCATTAATCCACAGTTTCCGCCCAACTTGCACCAAAGGTTTGCCACTACCTCTGCCAACACCAGATTTTCCACCACCTTGGGCTTGCCGTAAGAAATATCGCCATTCAAAACGATTAACCAGATACCCTCCAATTTCGGTTTTCTGCTTGGCTGGAACTGGAAAGCTCTCACCCAACACAGGGTCAATGTCTGACAGAACTGTGTAGGGAACAGTATCGGTACTCACAGTATGAGACCAAGGAGCCATGTTGACCACACTGCCATCTGCCAGAACTAAAGTTCGGTGTTCTGCTTCATCTGAAAATAAAACAAAATGTTGAATAAACCTAAAATGAAGATCCAGATTAGTATCTAACAAATCTGAAAACAAACCAAGCAATACACAGTATCTGTATGCAATTACATAAGGATGCAATAATATTGTAATGTGTTTGGAATAGGCACTTCCATGATAACGCAATAACAGTGAGCCACTGCATAGACAATGCCGAAACAATGAACGCATTTCCCCTGAGGTGGACAACAGAAGGTCCGTTACGTAACAACAGACTGTCAATATAGTAGAAATGGGACCGTGAGGAATGGTGTTTGGTATCCAGACCACAGAACACCTATATAAACCGAGCTTAGGACATTTATTCAAGCCTATTAATTGTCAAATTCCATGAATAAACTATGGGGGTCAGTATAGCTCAGTCAGCATAGTAACAACCTGCAGGCTCAATGGGAGAGAAGTTGGGGTTTAATTCCTGGCAGAGGCAAAAGATTTTTCTCTTCCCCAAAATATCCAGCCTGGCTCTGGGGCCTGCCCAGCTTCCTGTGCTGTGGATACTGCAGATGTTTCCCTGGCACAAGAGTGGCATGTGTGTGAAGCTGACAACTCACCTCCATTTAGTTCTGAGGTTATGAATGGTGGAGCTATACTTCCACTCCTCCATATGTTTTCATGGCATGCTGCTAAATTCATTAAGCAGTGGGATAGCTTATGAATGAAATATGAAAATACTGATAGTCTGAGAGGGAATGCACTCACCTAGCCTAGTGACAACACTGGAGCCCTTGATGAGCATCGACACAGGTTTCCTGTTATTCTGAGTAACTTTCACAGTAGCTCCTTTTACACTGAGATCAAATGAAAGACTGATGACCTTTCCAGTTGGTGTAATAGCAGATGTTAAGCGTCCAAATTCATCATAATTATAGACATAACTACGTCCTGTACTGTCAAGTTTAGTTTTGAGTAATCCAGTTGGACCATGATAGTCGAATGTGACATTGTAATTATCAGGTGTACTCAGTTCATACAACATCTTCATCCGTGACATCCGTATTCTGCATCCTTGACCTTTTGTGTTTTCAATGGATTTAACCTGGCTTGAATAGTCACGCAGGAGGAACACCTTATTTCCTGCAGCATCTGTCACTGTGCTCAGTTTCCCATTGCTGGTGTTCACATTATATGTGAAGAGGTAACTTGTCTCTCCAGTGAGAATGTTGCGAGTCACAATGTGTTGTCCAAATTGGTTGAACACATAGATCTCTTGTGTGTCTGGGGAGAATATCTCATACTCTTGTGATGCACTTGCAACCGGGATACTGGCTGTTACTGATCGAATCCTAAAGTTTGAGAAACAGAAACGAAGATATTATTGAGAAATGAGACATATTTAGGATATGGTTCATGTCATGTAAGTGAGTAGAGATTACAAAGTGAAAATGATATTTTCTTTTGTTGGATTTGAGGTTCTCAAAGTGGTGACTCTGAAGAGTTGTCTTCTGAGTTGTGATACAATGAAGTCTCATAGAAAGTGCTCTTTTAGAGTACCATCTTCGGGTTTAAAGAGCAAGGCAAGCAGGCAGAGTTGCTTGAATGTCTTACTAATCAACATTGAAGACTGAAGAGGTACATGCCTATAAGATTTTGAACTTCAACTGGACTACATGGCATCACATTTCAGAAGATAGTACAAAATATTTCTCCATTTTCTTATGTTTTTGAAGCTACAGTAGTTGTTATAAAAGTAAATGCTCCTTAAAACCATTAAAAATATTAGTAGGATGAAGAAACCAAAAAGAATGAGATGCATATAAATTTTTATTTAGAAAACCTGAAAGGAAGAGATCTGTTTCCGTCATTAGGACGTTCCATAGTGCTCACTGGCTTTTCACAGTGGCAGCCTGGGTTTAATCACATGTCAAGTCATGTGAGATTTGTGATCAAAGTGGCACTGGAGGGGGTTCTTTCTAAGTATTTTGGTTTCATTCCCCCCCCACAAGGATGGTCTTTCACATGAAAATAGGACAATGGCTAATGTCCAGACACATAATATTTGTACTAATGTATGATTGTGGCAAATTTTTATATCTTATTTGATCCATATTCATTAATAATTTTATCACTGATGCTATTAATCTCAGCAGTGACAGCATCATTAATGACTAACTAACAAGTGACAATCATTATATAGCTTCTTAAAACTGAATGTATAACATGCCATCACCTGAGTTTCTTTAGTTCTTTGTATGCCATAACCTGATTAGACTGGTTTGACGTGTTTATGTTAAAGCTGTCACAGCCAAAGAGATAGGCTCAAGTTTAGTGAAAGGAACACACATTCATACTACGAGGGTCATACTGAAAGTCATGAGCAACAATTTTTTGTAAAGTAATGTGCTTTATTATTGACCAACAAAATAGACCACCTCAATCTACAGACCCTTCTTTATTTTTCCACATAATCGCCACTTCTTTGTACACATTTCTCCCAGGGTTCTGGGAGGTTGAAAATTCCTCTTCTGTAAAATTCCTTTTCAGCCATCCAAAGACACTGACACACTGCTTTCGTAATTGCCTCCCTTGTCTCAAAACGTTGTCCATGCAGCTGATCCTTCAAAAATCTGAAAAGATGGTAGTCGGAGGTTGCCAGATCAGGACTATAGGAGGGGTGTGGAAGAACTTCCCACCCCATCTTTGCAATTGCTTCCAATGTGACCTTTGTGGTCTTCGGTCAATAACCGCGGGACCCAATGAGCATAAACTTTCCTATAGCCCAAGCTTTTAATCATCTCCTGTACTACACTGTGCTCTATTCCAAGTTTTCGGGCTATTGTGCCCACAGTCACATGCCTGTCATCTTGAATGATCTCATCCACTCTTTCCTTGTTGTGTTCAGTTGAGGCTGTTCGAGGACGACCGCTCTGAGGCTCATCTTTGCTACTGGTTTTCCCATCTTTAAAATGTTTCAACCATCTTCGAATACTGCTCGCACCCATGCACACACATCCATAAGCATGATGAATTCAGAAAGCAGTGCGTCAGTGTCTTCGGATGGCTGGAATGGAATTTACAGAAGGGGAATTTTCAAACTCCCAGAACGCTGAGAGAAATGTGTACAAAGAAGTGGAGATTATGTGGAAAAATAAAGAAAGGTCTGTAGATTGAAGTGGTGTATTTGGTTTGTCAATAATAAAGCATGTTACTTTACAAAAAGTTGTTGCTCATGACTTTCAGTATGACCTACATATATGCAAATTTGATTGTTTGAAAGTTTGTCTTTAAAAGTACTTGCTCTTTTCTGTGCAACAGCACTTACTCCCAAGCAGCGCTGGTATTCCTGTCATGATTCTTATCAAGACTAAATAGCATAAATGTTAGAATGAGTAATGAATGTGGAGCAGTTGGCGGAATGAGAATTTACAGGGCAGTCCAAAGTACTTGGAGAGAATGCACCTTAGTGTCTCTTCATCCATAACAAATCTTATATGACCTGACACATGATCTCACCCAGACTACTGCAGTCAAAAACCTGAGCTAGGGCACAGCTCTTCCTAATAGACAGTTGTATGGTGAGGCTTGTTAACATACTGCATTCTACTACAATATACCTGTAATTTGCCTGATCTGCTATATGCAGAATACCATCAGGTGTCACAGCTATGGAGGAGATGTTGTTGAACTTAGATGTGGAAGCCAAGAAATGGCCATCTTCAAAACAATCGCAACCGCGGTCCAAGCAATTGCACTTGGATTCAGCTCCAGCATAATGGGAGATCTTGCTGTCAGTTCCAATCACTCTCACTCTGTTGATCCTCTGCGAGTCACTCTCGGCCACATACAGGTCTCCAGAGGGGCCAAATGCAATGCTCTGTGGCATCACTAATGTAGCATGTGCTGCCAGTTCAGTATCGTAGCCTCCGACAGGCGATGGGCAGTGCAATTGGCGTCCAGCTACAACTTTGACATGACCATCGAGAGCCAACTGCAGGATCATGTGGTCATCAATGATATGTAAGGAGTTGTCTAGAGGGCTGATTGCCAGTTCAGTTGGCCAACGCAAGTGAACCTACAGACAAAGACAGTAAGCTAAGCAAAAAATAACAGTGTTTTAATAAGTTTTGTTTGAAATAAATTTGTTATGGTTTCTACTGCTTACATCTGTAGAACTCTAACAAGCAAAGAATAAGGATTAGTGTCTTCTAGTATGTGACACCATGTAATCTAGTATATATTTACCAACACTTAAGAGGTGCATGCTGCCACTATCTTCGGGATAGAAAGTGACTCTTCTCCCTTGAACATGATGGCACCAGGTTCCTCCAAAACTGTAAATATATACTAGAATACACAATGTCACATAATATTCATATGAATTTGATCTACTAACACTGCCATTAAATAAACAACAAACAAATAGTCACTGCTGTAAGAGCCCCATATCTCATATAATATGGAGAAGTGCACAAATATCATTCATTTGACTTTACACTTGTTTCACGTTAACCATTAAAAGTTACAAGCATTTGATTAATCATAGGCTTTGAAAAATGTTTTCACTCATCATGGAGGCTCTTACTGGCAGTCTGGATAACAAATGAGCAAAGTAAGTTAATGAAGATACCTCTTCCACATTTAGAGTTCCTTCACAAGGAATTGGTTTCCAGTGGGACTTGTGCATGTGATTGCCAATAACAGTTGTCACAATGCCATCACGATCAACCATACGAATGTTGGTGCCATCAGCAAAGTACAACACATTGTCAGCTGAGACAGCCACTCCTGTAAATGTATTAAAACAAAACAGTTATTATTATTACAACATTTTCTTCCCATCACATAACGGTTGCCAAGAGTGCGGTAACTGAATTGGTATTATTGTCTAAACAACAGAATTTTCTTTGTATCATCATCTGTTTGTGTGTTTGTTTTCTTTCTTTCTTTGCTCATAAGGTCCAGTGATTGAGACTACCTCTTTCTAACGGGCTCAACTGAGTATGTCTATCTTGCCCCATCCATCTGAGGATGGAGACAGATCCAGTATCCGAAACGTTGTGGTTTTTTGTCTTATATATATACCAGATGATGGATCATCATCATCACTGGCACGACAGCCCTTTGTGAGCCCTGGCCTTCCTCAGGATTGCTTGCCATTCTTCTCCATTTGATGCTATGTTCCTCCAGTTCTTTACACCCAAAATTCTTACGTCCTGCCACACACATTCTTCCCATCTTAACCTTGGTCTTCCCACTCTCCTCTTTCCTTCTGGTTTAGTATTAAGCATTTTCTTGATNTGATCTTATAAGTACTTTATACATCATAGTTTTGGTTTTCCTGGGTATTAATTGGGATTTCAGGTGTTTCCTAAGGCCATGGAGAGATTTATTTGCTGCAAGTACATGTTTTTTTTATTTCATCACTGATATCATTTTTACAGTTAACTTCTGATCCAAGGTAAGTGAAACTACATACAACCTCAAATTTATATAAGCCAATTTCAATATATGTAGGTCCATTAGCACAGTCTTTCTTGGTTACCGGCATGTACTTTGTTTTATTTTGGTTAATTTGTAGCTTCATCTTCTTTGCTGCTCTTTCCAAATTAAGGAAAGCTTCTTTCATAGATTTTCGTGTTCTACCAATATCAATATCATCTGCAAATGCCAAAATTTGAACTGGCTTGTAGTATATAGTTCCCCTTGTGTTGATGCCTGCATCTCTAACTACCTTCTCTAAAGAAGATGGATAGAGTTCAAAATAAACCTTATAGTTCTGTACACCATACGCCATTGTCAGAATCCTTTAAAGTCTATTTCTTTGCTCATGCTCATATCATAAATGCTCTCTGGCCTGTTGAGTAAGCATATAAATAAACAAAGAACTAAAATGAATTGAATTTCTCTTTCATAAGAGCTGGATGAGAGTAAGTCTCTCACCAATGTGGTTCAGAATTTTACCAGTTACTTGTGATAATTGAATGCTGACCATTTGTGAACTGATAACTGGGAAGGAAAGGCTGAAGTTGTTGGAGAAGAACCTGCCTCAGTGCCATCCTCTCCTTCACAAATCCTATGTGAACTATCCTGGATACCAAATTATTATTTGTTTATTAGTCATCATATCTACAAACCTTTCGGATATGTAAGTTTGGCATCTCTTGCAAGTGCTCCATCTCCGCAATGTGCCTCATCCCCTGGCAAGCACCGCTCACCCGAGCCGACTGCAGTTTCCCAGTTGTGATCAGGATCTGAGTAGTCCTCTATGCTCCTTACTCGGATGATCTGATGGGATTCTGGGTCTGAGATGTACAAAACTCCATCCAGTGGACTGAGAGCTAGGTGGTACCGATAAGACACGCGTGTTGCACTGTGCAGTCACAGAATTGTACATTGTAAGAATGATAAACACATGTTACAGATCATATAGTCAGTGCTACTTAGGACTGACAGAAATGGCAATGGTAGAGATTGTTCCTATTTGTTGCTAGTTTCACGACTGGAACCATGATTATTATTCTGTTCCTCAGCTATACAAGATACTGGGCAAAATATATTCATTCACATCATGCAGCAATAATACAATTCAACTATCATGGGAGCAGTTTATATAATAATTTTATTGTGGAATTCCAAAATAATAACAAACTCCCACTGGGATGCTGCAGCATGATGGGGAGGTTTACATGCTCCGACCACCTGAAGAGCTATGCAGTGTGAAGCTCCTTGCAGGGTTACCCATGCTAGATAGATC